AAATATTGTATTATTTAATTTTTTTTCAATAATTTTTTAAATATAATGTTGTGATTATTTTTTAGTTATTTTTTTTGAATTGATTAGAATTTAAATAAGTGTAGCATATTTAGTATTATTACAACGAAAAGTTTTTTGTTATTTTGAAGGTCAAAAAGGTCCCAATAAAGTTTTTTTTAGGAATTATTCAACCTTTCAGTGATGCAACTAAATTATTGAGGAAGCAAAATATTAAATTATTAAAAGCACATAAGTTTTTTTATTTTGCTAGACCTATAATTGGATTTATTATAGTAATAATTTTAATTATTGGTTAACCTATAAATATTAATATTTATGCTATAAATATATTTATATTATATTTAATGTCTTGTTTGAGAATAGGGGCTTATAATGTTTTAATGAGTAGATAATCCTTAAATTAAAATTATGCACTATTAGGAGGGTAACGTTCAATTTCTCAATATTTATCATACAAAGTTTAAATTATTTTGATTTTTTTTAATATACTTAATTATGTTAAAAGTTTTCAAATAATTGATTTTATAAAATATCAAGAAGTTATGAGTTTTTGATTTGTAAATATAATAATAATATTTGCTGTATTTGTTAGATTATTTGCAAAATTTAATCTTATACATTTTGATTTTATTTAAGGAAAATCAGAATTTGTTTCAGGATTTAATGTTAAATATATGAGAGTAGGATTTACTTTTATTTTTTAGGCTAAATATATAATAATTTTAGATGTAAGCCTTTTTTAATGTTATATTTTATGAAAGTTCAATATTTTATTATATAAATTTATTTTATGTTTTATTATTTAAAATTTCGATAATTTTAAATCGTGGTTCTTTACCACGTATACGTTATGATAACTTAATACAATTTAAATGATACTATGTTTAAGCTTTTTCTATGATAATATTAATTCTTATAATTTTATTAAAAGTAACATAGCAACTGCACAAGCAACTTCAACTAAACATGCAAGAGTAACTGCACATGTAACAGTTACTGCACATGCTACTGTAACAGCAAATAAAACTGCTAATGCAAATTAAACTGCAAATTTCAACTAAACATGCAACTTCACATGGCGCGGCCACTTTAATTGCTACTGCATCTATAACTAAAACTGCACATGAAAGAGCACCTTCCTTTTCACATGCAACTAAAACGTCAACTGCTCATGCAACTGCAACTCAAAATGCAGCTGCAACTACAAATGCTACTGCCAATGCAAATTAAACTTTACATGTAATTGAGACTTTATCTGCAACTGCATCTTAAACTGTTACTGCAACTGCATATGCATCTACAAATGCAACGGATTATACAAATGATACTGAAACTGCCTGTGCAATTGTAACTGCACCTGAAAAAGCAATTAAGTAAGCAAACGTAACTGCGCATGCTACTTCCCAAGCAACCACAACTGCACATGCAACTGCAACTAAACATGCAACCGCCACAGGTACTATACATGCCACTGCAACAGAAACTGCACATGACACTGCGCATTTATCTAAAACTTCTACTGCAAATGTAGCTGCATGGGCAACTGCACGTAGCACTGCAACTGCGACGTAAACTGAAACCTCACCTGCGACTGCAAATGCAACACCAACTAGAACTTTACATACAAGATAACCTGATCTTTCAACTGCAACTGCACATTAAACTGCACATGCATCTAAAACATACCATGCAACATTAACAGCACATGCAACAGCAACTGCACATGCAATTAATACTGCACATAAAAATGCAAATGTACATAATGCTRAAGCTGAACATTTGACTTCAGATGCATCGGTAACTGCACACGCAACTGCAACTTAAAAGAAAACTGCAACTACAACTGCAACTTTAACTGCACCTGAAATTAAACATGCATCTGCAACTACATAGATAAGTGCAAATGAACATGCAACTTAACATGAAACTGCAATAGCACATGCAACTTCACAAGTAACTGCAACTGCATATGCTACTGCTACTGTATATGCAACTGTAACAGCAACCGCAACGGCATAAAAAGCTTTAACTGAAACTGCATATTCATCTGTAAATTCTACTGCCACTACAAATTTAACTGCAGCTGCTACTTCATCTGTAAGTTCTACTGCCACTACAAATTTAACTGCAGCTGCCACTTCATCTGTAAATGAAACTGCAGCTGCAAAAGCAACTGCAACTGCAACTGCAAGTACAAAGGCAATGGTAACTTTAAATAAAACTGAAACTGCACAGGAAACAGCACTGCTACTGATACTGCAAATGCCACTAAACTGCAACTGCATAGGCAACTTTTACTGCACATAAAACTGCCACTGTACCTGCTATTTTACATGCTACAGTAACTGTTATTGCAACTGCAACTACAACTGCACGTTGGACTGAAGATGCCTCTGCAACTGTACATGCAACTGTACACATAACCGTAACAGTGCTTGCAACTGCAAAAGCTAACGCCACTGTACATGAAATTGTCATTGTACATGCCACTGCAACTGCAAATGCCCATGCAACTGCATTTGCCACTGCAAATTTAACTGCCACTGCTAAATCACATGCAAATAAATCAGGAAATGCACATGCAATTGCAACTGTACTTAAAACTCAAACTGCACATTCTACTGCACATGCAATTGCAACTGTACATAAACAGAAACAGTACATGAGACTGCTATAACACATTCGACTGCAGATGCAACTACAGCTGCCCATGTAACTACATGTGCAGTATTAGTAGCTGCAACAGCCACTGATACTGCACATGCTACTACTACTGCGACGTAAACTGCAACTTTACCTTTAACGGCGACGTGAACTGCAAATTTATCTGCCACTGTACTTGCTACAGCAACTACAACTAAACATGCAGGAGTAACTGCACATGCAACTGCAACTGCACATGCTGCTATTCATGCAATGGCAACTGCACATATAATAGCAACAGTAAATAAAACTGCAATTGCACTGAAATGTTTAGGTTCATGTGCAGTAGCAGTTTCAATTGCTTTTTTAGTAACATGTGTAGTTGCAGTTAAAATTGCAGTTGCAGTTTAATGTGCTTCTCCAATGTGCAGCAACAGTTGAATTTAAAATTGTAGTTTCGGCTTTTAGCTGCATTTACAGTTGCTGTTGTGCATGTGCAGTTTAATGTTCAGTTGCAGTTGCATATGTATGTGCAGTTGCATATGCAGATGTCATTTCATTTGCAGTTTATAGTTTCATTTGCAGTAAAAGTTGCATTCGCATGTTCATGTGCAGTTGCAGTTAAATGTTTATTTGGATTCGCAGTGGCAATTGCAGATGCATGTTCATATGCTTGGGCATGCTTTGTTGCATTTCCTTTTGCCCGTATATTTGCATGTGAAGTTATATGTTCAGTTGTAGTTGCATGTGCATGTGCAGTAGCAGTTTTAGATGCAGTTTTAGTTGCATATTCATGAACAGTGGCCGTTTCTGTTTGTTGCCGCATGTGCTGTTGCTCTAACAAGTTTACTTGCATGTGCAGTTGCTTATGTTGCTGCATGTGCGTGTGCAGTTGCATGTGTAGTGTCAGTTGCATAAGCATTTGCAGTTACAGTTTCAAGTGCTGTTGCATGTAAATTTGCATAATATTTCGTAGTTGCTAATCCAATTGCATTTGCAATTATTAGTTGCTTCGGCAGCTCTAGTTGTAGTTGCTGTAGCAAATAGAGCTGCATGTTCATTTGCATGTGCATGTGCAACTGCAGTACCATGTGCTGTTGCAGGTGCAGTCGTAGTTGCATGTGAATTTGCAAGTGCTGGCTAGTTGCATGAGTAGGAGCATGTGTAGTTGCAGCAGTATGTGCACGTACGGTTGTATGTGCAGTAGCAGTTACAATTTCAGTTGCAGTTTAAGTTACATATGCATGACAAGTTGCAGTTCCCGTGGCAGTTGCAGTGGCATGTGCATGTACATGTTGATGTGCTTGTTCTTAAGCAAGTGCAGTTGCATTTGCATGGGCAATTTTTGAAGCCATTGCAACTCCATGTGTACGTGCAGTTAAATGTTCAGTTGCAGATACATTTGCATGAGCTGATGCAGTGTCATGTGCATTTGTAGTAGTAATTGCATGTTTTTGTGCAGTTGCAGGTTCATGTGCATTAACATAAGTGGTTGCAGTTGCATTTGCCGTTTACATTGCTTGTGTTTGGGAACTTGTAATTGCTTCTGCATGTAAATGTGCATCTGCTGTTGCAGGTATATGAGTATGCACCGATGTATTTGCAGTTGCATGTGCATATGCAGTTGCATGAGCAGGGGCAGTAGCATGTGTATGAGCATGTGTAGTTTCATGTGCATGTGATGTTACATTTTTATTAGCATGCGCGTGTTTATCTGTATATGCAATTCTATTTACAGTCACATGTGCATGTGAAGTAGCAGTTGCAGGTGCTGTTTTAGTTATATTTGCATGTGCAGTAGCAGTCGCATATGCTGGTGCTTGTTTATGCGCAGTTGCAGTTGTAGTTGCAGTTGCAGTTGCAGTTCTATATTCATGTGCCTTTGCAGTTGCATGTGCTTTTCCAGTTACATTTGCATGTCCCTGATCATGTGCTTTCACAGTTGCATGTGAATGTACACGTTTCATAGCATTACTACGAGTATGTGTAGTTGTAGTTGCAATTGCATGTACATGTGCAGTTGCAGTTTCATCTGCATGTAAAGGTAAAGTTGTAGTTGTAGTTACTGTTGAATTTTTAGTTTCATATCCATGTGCGTGTGCAGTTGCCCTTACATTTGTATGTTCTTGTACAGTGGCAATAGCAGTGGCAGTTTCTGTGGCATTTGTATGCTTATGTGCAGTTGCAGTTGCATGTCTATTTCCATGTCCAGTCGCAGTTGCATGTAAATTTGCACGTGCTCTTGCAGTTACATGAGTATGTGCAACTGTAGTTTGTATGCTCATTTACAGTAGCATTTGCCTTTCCATTTGCATGTGAAAGTGCATTTACAGTTTCAGTAGCAGTTTTACATGCCCTTGCATGTTTAGTTCCAGTGGCATTTACATTTGTGTTCTTAGTTGCATGTGTAGTTGCAGTTCCAGTTGATGAAGCAGTGGCATTTCCATGTGTGTGTGCAGATGCAGTTGTAATTGCATTTTTAGCTGCATATGTATGTGCACTTAAAGTTGCAGCTGCATTGTCATGTGCAGTGGCAGAGTCATTTCCAGTAGCATGTGCATGTTTATGGGCAGTTGCAGTTTCGGTGGCAAATGCAGTAAAATAGGCATGTACATGTACATGAGCAGTAGCTGTTACATTTCCAGTAGCATGTAAATGTGCATCTGCATTTACATTTACATGGGTATGTGCATGTGCAGTTGCATGTGAATATTAATTTGCAGTTGCAATTGCATATCTATGTGCATATGCTGTTCTATTTGTATTTGCATTTGTGTGTGGAGTTGCAGTTGTATGCGCATATTCAGTAGCATTTGCATGTCTATTTGCCCTTGCAGTTGCAGTTACCTTTTTTTGAGCTATTTCTGCTGCAGTGGCAAATGTAGTTGCATCTAGAGGTGCAGTTGCATGTGCTTGGGCAGTTACGTATGTTCATGTGCATGTAAAACAACAGTTGCAGTTACATTTGCGTGTAAAGTGGCAGTAGCAATCGTTGTTTTAGTTGCATGTGTATGCGCGTGTGAATGTGCAGTAGCAGCAGCATTTTCAGTAGCAAATGCTTTTTTTTTGGCATGTGCAGTTGCAGTGGCAAATGCAGTTGAATGTGCAGCAGCAGTTGCATTTAAAGTTTTAGTTAGATTTGCTTATGCAGTTGCAGATCTAGTTGCATGTTCCTGTGCAGTTGCTGTTGCATGTGTATGTACATGTGCATATTCTATTACAGCTGTATATGCAGTTTGAATCTCATCTGCATGTTCGTGTGCAGTTACAGTTGACGTTTCATGCGCCGGGACAGTTGCAGTTGACGTTGCAGTGTTTGTGGCGTATTTATGCCCATGAGCATGTTGCATTTGTATGCGCTTTTATAAGGGCACGTACATATGTATGTGCCTGGGCAGTTACTTGTGCAGTTACATTTGATTGTGCAGTAGCAGTTGAATGTCCATGTGCATGTGCAGTTTTAGTTACGTGTGTATGAGTAATTGTAGTTGTAGTTGCAAATGCAGTTGCATCTGCATATCATTTGTTACTTGCGTTTGCGTCAAGGCTGTAAAGCCTATACTTACTAATATAAATTTTATAACAAAAAACATAAAAAGAAATCATTAAAGGTATAAAATATAAAAAAGAATAATAAAATAAAAAACATATATTATAAAAAAAAAATCGTTCAATAGGAGCTAATACTGTTTACTGTAATTCTGTAATTCAATTCTTATTCTACGAAAATTGATCGTTGATAATTCGAGATAAAAACTTTTTAGTGTCTAATAACACATTTTTTACCGTCTATGAAAATTTCTTTATAGACTTAAAAAAACTTTTCACAGCTTTCCGGACCTGTACGTAGTTGCTATTTACAAGACTTCTAAAAAAGTGCTAAAAAATATTAGTTTGAAACGTAATATTTAGCATTTAAAATTTAGCAATAACAAAGCTTTAAAGCGTATACTTACGAATATAATTTTTAAGACCGAAAAGAATTATTCGATATAGAGAACAGTCTCACTACAGCTGTCCTAGAAAAAGGAAACATCGTTCATTTTTACCTATTTTTGGTTACTTTACGTCTAGAGCTTAATTCATTCGCGTAAAAATCCGATCATTGTAAACCTAAGTTTAAATCTGTATAGATTCTAATAGAAATTTTTTCTATGTCTTTAAAAATTTTTCTTTCTATTTAAAAGAATTTTGCGCTGCATTCTGGACCTGTACGTAGATTTAAACTATAAGATTTCAAAAGACGTGAGTATTACTAGAAGTTTTAAAACGTTTGTTTTTAAGCATGAAAGCATATACTTACAAATATTAGGTTTAGGACTGAATAATATGAGTTGATATTATTGATGTTCCGACAACAACAGACATAAAAAGAGAAAAAATCGTTCAATTTAAACAATTTTTTTTACTTTACATGTAAAACTCAATAATTGTTTGACGAAAATCGATCGATGTTAACCCGGGATCCACTTTACTTAGTGACTAATAGCCAAAATTTTGCCGTCTATAAGCATTTTACAATATATTTAAAAGAAATTTTTCACTGCTTTCCGGACTTTAATGTTGTTGCACATTGTATGATTTCTAAAGACGTAAAAAATTGCAGAAGTTATGAAAAAAAGCGTTTAAGCTTTGAAGCGTCTAATTACGAATATAAATTTTATGACAAACAAAAAGGTGCTGATATCATTAATAGTTCGACCACTGCAGTCCTTAAAAGCGAAAAAATCGTTTTTTATTGACTATTTTTTTTTACTAAACATGAAGAATTTAGTTCTTTTTTTGACAGAAATCGATCGTAGTTTACTTAAAATCCAATCTGTTTTGTAACTAATAGCACACTTTTCACCGCCTATGAAAATTTTATTAAATATTTTAAAGAACTTCTCGCTGCTTTTCGGACCTGTACGTCGTTACCAACAATAACAATTTTAAAGAAGTGCTAATTACTAAAAGTTTTAAAACGTTATCGTTAAGGCTTTAATGCGTACACTTACAAATAAACAGTGTTATGTCCGAAAAATTTAGCAAATAACATTTATATTCCGACAACTGCAGTCTAAAAAATAAGAAAAAATCATTTTATTTCAACTATGTTTTGTTACTATACGTGTAGAATTTGATTTTTTTTTAACGAAATTCGATTGTGGTCAACCTGACATATGGACCGTTTATTTTGAAAGTGGTGTAAGTCCATTTTAAAAAAAAATGAGATATCACGTAATGTATACTTAATTTAGTGTAAACTTTCTATTTATAACTAGTTAGTATTTAATATCTTAAAAAATGTCAATGCTTTATCAAATTTAAAATCGGCTGGTAAAAGAAATTACGTAACTATTGATTAGGAAAGTGGTGTAAGTCCAATTTCCGTAGAATAGAAAGAAAAAAATAATATAAAAAAGAATTTCCTGTATACACCACAGGAATATTATGATATTATAAAACAGTTTAAACAACATAATAAATTTATTTTACATGAAATTAAACGAGAAAATTTCGTTTCAACGAAGAACCTATAGATCGTAATCAAAAAACAGATGACAAGAAACAATAATAAACAAAAAGGTAAATTAATGTCAAATATGTTGGATAAGATTTCAAAAAAGTGCACCATATACTATTTTATATAAAATGTTAATGAAAGACACAAAATTTAAGATTTAAAATTTATCACCTATACGTCCGGAAAGACCAGTCAAAATTTGAAAAAATCGTCTAGTGCATTTATATCACGATGCTATGCCTATTACTTACGAAAAATATATGAATATCAAGCAGTTATTACACTATTTACCTCCTGTGCATCACAAATATTAAAAAACACTGCCAAATAAAAAGCATAAATAAATACTACTTATAATGTTGAATTTATAAATATAATTAACGTTTAAAATAAAAAATACTATTTCTACTTAATTTCTTGTTATTATTTGTAAACAAAATTGGTATAATATGAAATATATTTTAAGTTATATTTGATTTTTCAAAACATAAATTAAATAATTTTAACAAATGAATAATTATGAAAGTGGTGTAAGTCCATTTGCAGCCTGTAAATAGGTATTTTATTAGTTAAATTAGCATAAAGGTAATGTATATAATCAAATTATATATCAATAAATTAATAGAAACATTGTCAAACTTGATATAATTATTGAATATGTTTAAATTAACTAATATGCAAACCTATAATTTTCTTAAAACAACAGAAAATAGACTTGCACCACTTTTAAAATAAACGGCCCATATATTCTTTTTAGTTTCCAATAGCACATTTTTACCTTCGCTAAAAATTTTTCAATATATTTAAAACCATTTTTCGCTACTTTCTGGATTAAATAGTAGTTGAAAAAAATAAGATTTCTAAAAAAGTGTCATTAAAAAGAAGCATTGAAACGTTTTCTTCCAAGCTTTAAAACGTATACTTATACATAAAACGTGGAAAGTCCGAAAAATATTTGGCAAACATCATTTATATTTCGAACAGTGCAGTCAAAAAAAGAGCGAAAATTATTTTATATAAACTTTTTTTAGTTACTTTACATGTAGAATTCAATTCTTTTTCGACGAAATTTGATTGTAGTTTTCCTGACATCCATTCTGTTTAGTTTCTAATAGCATATTTGTACCGTCGCTAAAAACTTTTGAGGTATTTAATGAAAACTTTCGCTGCTTTCTGGATTGAATAGTTGTTAAAAACTATAAGATTACTAAAAAAGTGGTATTTACCAGCAGCTTTAAATGTTTTCTTTTAAGTTTTAAAGCGTAAACTTACAAATAAAAAGTGTTAGGTTCATGAAATTTTTGCAAACATCATTTATATTTCGACCACTGCAGTCAAAAAAAGAAAAAAAATTATTTTATTTATACTTTTTTTGGTTACTTTACAGGTAGAGTTCAATTCTTATTCGACGAAATTTGATTGTAGTTATCCTGACATCCCTTTTGTTTAGTTTCTAATAACACATAATTACAATAGCTGAATATTTTTTAATATTTTTAAAAGAAATTTTCGCTGCTTTCTGGATATAATAGTAGTTAAAAACGTTGAAATTTTTAAAAAAGTTGTATTTTACAGGAGCTAATAATCGTTTTCTTTCTAGCTTTGAAGTGTATACTTACAAATGAAAAGTTTTAGGTCGAACAAATTTCGGCAAACATTATTTATATTTGGACAACTAGAGTCAAAAAAAGAGAAACAATTATGTTATTACCACTTTTTTTTGTTACTTTACGTGTAGAATTCGATTCGTTTTCGATGAAATTCGATTGTAGTAAACCTAACTTTAATTCTGTTTAGTTTCTAATAGCACATTATTACCGTCGCTAAAATTTTTTTATTATATTTTAAAGAACTTTTGCTGCTTTCTGTATTGATCTGTAGTTGACACCTGTTAGATTTCTAATAATGATCTATTTAACAGAAGCTATAAATCGTTTTCTTTCAAGATTTGAAGCGTATACTTACGAATAAAAAGTATAACTTTCAAAAACATTTAGCAAATAACATTTATATTCTGACCACTGCATTTAAGAAAATAGAAGAAATAGTTTTATTACAACTTTTTTCGGTTACTATACGTGTAAAATTTAATTCTTTTCTGACAAGATTCGATTGTAGTTGACCTAACATCCATTCTGTTTAGTTTCTAATGGCACATTTTTACCGTCGCTGAAAATTTTTTTTCATACCTAAAAGAAACTTTTGTTTTTTCTAAATTGAAAAGTAAATAACAACTATACAAATACTAAAAAAGTGCTTTTTAAAAGAAGCTATAAAACGTTTTCTTTAAAGCTTTAAATCGTATATTTACAAATGAAAAGTGTAAGGTCCGAAAAAACTAATCAAACATTATTTATATTTCGACAACTGCAGTCAAATAAAGAGAAAACATCATTTTATAACAAATATTTTTGGTTACTTTACCTGTA